GTTGTATTTCTGATGATTTCCTTCCCAATACATTGACCTAAGTTTTGTATTTGTCTTGCCGCTTAATCAATCTCATTAAGTTGCTATTTAACGACTTGTTTGTTTTTATTTATTCTGTGCCCTTCAGAGACAGACATTCACCTTTGTGTCACATTCGGGTTAGTCTGACCTCCTGCATTGGAGCAGGACATATCATATTTTTTGCTGGAATAGATGCCACAGAAAACAAGGTGACTTGTTAAACTCTTCCCTCTTGTTGCTTATTTAGTTGTTCTTGTGCTTGTTTGTTTGTTTGTTTTTCTATTTGGTTCAGCTTCTTATTATTTTGACTGATTGATTTCAGACTGAGTGATCGATGGAGTAATTCTCTTTTCCAGTTTGTTTGTCTGTTTGCATGTTTTCTATTTTGTAGTTTTCATTTGTTTGTTTTGTTTTGTTGCGTTTCTCTTTTTTTAATTTGTGTTCGGATTATTATCTCGAAAAATGGCAAATTATTAAATTTTTATGGATTATCTATTCCCTGCAGGCTGGTTGTGTAGCTGGAGCAGCTCTTTTGCAGTATTTCCTGATGGCCTCCTGTTGCTGGATGCTTGTCGAGGGCATTTATATCTACTTATTTGTTGTAAAGGTGTACAACATTACCGATAAAATTTATCTTTATCATGGCTTTTTCTGGGGTAAGGTGCACTACCAGTCACAGATGGGATTGGACCTAAAAAATTAATTTACTTAGCAGGATATCTTGATTCTGATTGGCTTAAAACCAATGCAGAAGTAGGTATTAGAGTTAAAATAGAGGTTATAAGAGTGAAAAGATAGTTGCCATGAAAACATTGAGAGAACTCTAAATTTGAAAAGACTTTCTTGTAATGGCCATATCTTTTACGTCTTCAAATGAATACGCGCGCTGTTTGAAAATCATTGGATTGTCTTGATTAGTAACTAAAGAAGGCGTATAGTATTTTTGGAGCTGGTTAGACTTGGGTTTTATGCAGAATGTCACCGGCGTTGATCTTAATTGACAAAAAAAGAAGCAATTTTGTAATTAGATGCGTTTTAGTAACGTTATACCCACAAACAAAAGGTTTCGAGGATGAACAATATAAAAAGTCACATTGAAAATTCATATTTTCGCAGATAACAAAAAGGCGTCGGTTTATTGAAATCCTCAACTTGTACAGTCATTAGCTTAGGCGGATGTAATAGCCCTAGATCTCGATTATTCTTGCTGTCTTGTCCTACATAAACCAGTAGCTTTTAATTACTGATTTAAAATGGCGTTTTCTATTGTTTGTTTTGCTTCAGGACTTCCTACAATCATAGTTACTACATCTCTAGGTATTGCCGCAGGAAAAGATGGAATAGAAACTTATGTCACCGATAAAAAGTGAAGTTTGAATGTTTTCTAATTTTATCAACCGTTTAAAAGTAGAGAGAGCCTGGAAATGTGAACCTAAAATAGACAAGGGGCGAGGGTGTCAATTTCCCCTTTACCTGCCTCCTGATATTGGTAAATCATTATCAAGGACTCAGGGAAGACAAGAACGGGTACTAATTTTTACGAAACTTGATACCAGCAGCCCCCCCTCCCTGGCCTTCTAAAATGGCCTTTACCCCACCCTTTTCACTAGGTACCTCCTTCTTTCAAACTGTGGATCAGTCTCTTCGTGTGCTAGACCAGGAAGCTATTTAAGTTATCATCCAGAATGATGTTTTTCGTAATTTTGCAAAGTAATATAAAGGCATCGTGCTGCCCCATCCTTTGGGTTTTGATTTCACATTCTGACATGAAATATCCCCTAATTCTTTTATTTAAACGGACAAAACGAAATTGAAAGCTAGACCTGTGCACTTTATTGTTTTGATTATAAGATGCTGGATGTCCTCCTCTAACAATATCATCTGGATATTTGTTTCCTTTGTTGGACTAATCACAATTGTAAGTTGCCATAGATTGAAAAAAGAGTTTGAATATGAGCTCAGTCATCTAGATACATTTGTTTCAACACAGATTTCAACAGCATTTTGACAACCATTAATTTTCTTAATAGGTCTTTGAAAGTCCTCTTCCCAAAACTTAAGGCAGAAGCTAGAGAGACAAAAATATTGATAGTTATTTTTTTTCTCTTTTCTTACTTTGGTTGCAATGAATATATGAAGTTCATATATTTGAACTGCTGTTGTAGATACGTATGATGCACGATCCTCGCAGTAGAAAGCGCTATTTATGTAATAGCGAAAATCAGAACTGAAAAAAATCAAGCCTGTACGGGATTCGTACTTTTCTTACTTTCTCCCTTTTTATTTTTTCCTATTAAATCCCTGAAGATTAACATGGTAATCCTTGTGCGAGTTATCAAGGAAATGACAACAATCCAAGAGGTGAAGGATAACCAGACTGAACAGATCAGGTGGGATGATAAGAGATGTTTCTCCCTGTAATATCTTTATAAAGCTAATTACTTTATTAGAGAGGTAAGACTTCAAATAGTTTCGCATAATACCTTGTGGTTTATGTATTACGTTTTCGATGGACAGCCTTCAAACTGCTTTTTGTGTCACCCCCACCATTATTTCCAGTGTATTTATAAATATTTATAGACTTTTGGAGTACAACATTAAATGGCGCAAAGTAAAACGGGCAAGATCTTACCCAAACGTCACCAAGAATTGTAATTTGTGTTTGTGGGAGAAGTATTTTATTTTGTGTAAGCTCGAAATGTCAACCTTAAACAACCGAAATGAATGAGCATCGTCCTGTAGACACTCTAGAAAATTTCTGCTAAAAATGTCATCACATTATTAGCGCGCGCCGCACGAAGCACGCGCCACAAGTTTTTTCAAAACTTTAAATGTAACCGTTTTTTCAAATAACTTTGAATGTAACCGTTTTTCAGGAAGTTACCTGATGATTGCTCCTGATGGAACATGAAACTCTGAGTAGCAATTACATTTCTTGGACCAAATAACCCAATTCGTTGCTGATAATATTATCTACTACTCTAGTCCAACTATTGACCAACTATTGAGCACCAACTATTGAGTCCAACTATTGAGCACATACTATAGTATATATATATATATATATATATATATATATATATATATTTATTTAACAATTATTCCACGAGCGCGCGTTCGATATGAGATGATAGATAGTCAACGAGGCGCGTAGCGTCGAGTTGGCTATAATCATCTCATATCCAACAAGCGCGAGTGGAATAATTGTTTTATTAAAAACGTTAAATTAAATTATTAAGTTTTATTAAATTTTTAGCTCCCTTTTCATTTTAAGCTGCCACGTACGCTTACCATATTTGTAGATTATGGTATATTGGCTGATATACCATAATGGCTAAGCCAATAAAAAGTCTTGAATTGCATTATCCAATATTATATATATATATAACAACCTTCAAACTCCTTCCATTATGTCCCGGGTATTTATAGCCTTCAAATTGAACGTAGATTTTTAGTCTTCCCTGGTTTCCGCTAGAGAAAGACTGAGCATTCATTTGGTCTCTTCCAGGCTAGGCATTCGTGCATGTGTCGTGTTAGCTCCGTTGTTGGGTGTCACGTGGCTCATTGGCTTCCTTTTGCCACTACACATCGCCTTCTCCTACATTTTTGTAATCCTTAACTCTACTCAGGTAAAGTGCTATTAAGCTTTAAAGCAGTTTGCTGTTCACTGGATTGGATTAGGGCGTAATTCTAAAACGATAAGAGTAAAGAATACTTAAAAGGGTCTGCATATCTGAGGATGACTCAGATTCAATTTCAGACACCAGACCTACCCTTCCATACCGAGAAAATTATCTCAGACGTCCTTTCGCACTTTTATTTTTATCTCCAAAGCCTTAGCTCCGCTTGAAAATAATAATGGGGTCACCATTAATCTATTACATCTGACGGATAAAGATGTATTTTGAAAAATAACCCTTACGCGAGTGAACGATCGAAGACAGAAAGAAAGAATAGAAGAGCTCTGACTGAGCTATTGGGACACAACCCCACATTCATGACAAAAAAAAAAGTTTAATGCTTTTGGTTGCTACCATTCGATAAAAACGACCATGACGTTTAAAGACTTTTTTATTTGTGCATCTATATGTTTATTTGTTTGTTTATAAACTAATAAGGTAAATCTCTAATGCTTTCTTTTTTTTTAAGGGATTCTCTATTTTCTTTTTCCACTGCTTGAGAAACAGTGAGGTATATATAAATTCTGATTCTTAGTGATATATATCCAGAAAAACTGGTAACAACGATGAGTACCTCTAATTTCCTTATCCTTCCTTTCTAGATAAAAGAGCGTTTCAAAAGAAGATTCCAAAGAATCCACCCAAGTGCATTAAACCATGGGCAAGCTGACAACACAAAGAACTCACAAACCCATCAGAGTCACGCTAACGCTGGGATTCCTCAGGAGGATCGAGAGTAGACTTTGAACTTCTATCTTCGTCTTGAATTGGGAAAATACTGTATGCATTTATAACCAGCTTCACTAATGTTGCTTAAGCTGTAGCTTAAGAGCTCTGTCGCAAATTGAAACTGCATTTATGCTTTTTTGCCCAGCTTCTGGGTAACCTCCTTAACCACGGATTTAGGTCATATGATCAAGTGGAATCATTTCTTAGAATTAAATTGTCAGAGAAGAACGGTTTAAAATATCTCCTGATTAATCATTTAATCTGTAATCAGTCAGTTTCCGTTTGAATCAATCTTGGGGCAACTGATATTGATAGTAAGAAAAAAAGTTTGCGGTATACTTCAAATAAAGACATAATGAAAACTTTACTAGACTAAAACGCTTCATAGCCGATGAAAGGAACATTATTCAAACCTGCCAGAACGTAATAGTTACTACGCGATACCACGTGGCGTTATGGTGGCCATCTTGATGAGGTCGTACAATCTATCTAAACAAAGCTAGACTTGAAAATGTAATCTAATTGTACCCTAGCAATAATTTGCTAAATGTACGCCCCCTCCCCACCTCTTTACCATTAACCACCCTACCAGAAAATTAGAGAGTTAATTGGAACAGGTGTCAAAGAGAAAGCTGGTTCGTCATTACCGTTCTCGTCTTCACCATTTCCATTCCTGTGACTGTTTGATCAAACTCGACGGGAGTTTGGGATCGCTTAGAATTCAAGCGAATGCATAATTCCTACTGTCGAGAACCTTAGATTGCGACTGCTCCAAGAGTTGATAAATTATAAAAATAAATAAAAGGCAAGATCAATTAAAAGATTTTGTCCATCCGTACTGTTTCTCTGTTCCCTTGTCTCCACCATTCCTCTGCTTCTCGCTCCTCTGCCGATCCTCACCTTTGCACAGTTTATCCACGGGTGCACCATGCATAATTAAGGTCATTTTGATTCCGTTCTCCATGATTCATATGAGTGCACAAATAATATGGAGACCTCACATTGTGCCTCCTTCTCTCTAGATTTGTTTAAATATTTAGGGTTTTTTTTCAAGAAGCGGGTAGATGTTTTCCTTTCTAGGTCTTGGGTACTACCATGTTTGTAAAATTAAAGAAGTTACTAATAGATTAATTTCGTATTACGATTTGACTTCCAATAGCTGCAGGCTTGTTAAAATGTGGTGTAGTTAAGAGAAGGTGGCAAAAAAGGTCTCTTTTTTTTTTTCAAAGCACCCGGATACATTATTTCATTAGCCATTCTTTGTTCAAGAAGGAAAATTCATCGGCCAATTGTTTGCTCGCAGAAAGATCAGGTTAACATTGCAAAATAAAAAACACAGCTGGCAGTATCTGACAGAAAATAAGGATCTTCTTCATACATCATTACAAATGGATCGAGGAAAGAAAAAGTCTTATTTCACGCCTCGTTCTCCACAGAGTATATCAAGCTTCCAATGATGAGAGCATTTACTTGTGCGTCAGCAATTGATGCAGTTTACTTGCTGAAAGTCTTTCTAGGTGAGTTGGATATCTTCTTTAGGTTGACATAACCACTTACTAATAACAGCACATAGCTAATAGCTAGCTCATCGACACGAAGCTGCTCCTTAAGGTTAAAACGGATGACATGTTCCACTAGATATACGTATTCCCTGTAGAAATTTCGAGTACAAGTTAACTTTTTTCGTCCATATTCCTTAACCGATAAACGCTATATTACCAATATAGACAACGTTATGAAAACAAAACACATACCAAAAAAGTATAACAATATTTTAAAATAAATACTTTAATTTGAAGAACACAGCAGATTATAGTAGATTATTGCTACCTTTCGGATAAAAATGTCTACGACCGATCTCTGTAATATTGTAGATCCTTAGGGGTAACGTTATACAACATGGCAAATTTTTCATAAACCTCATGCAAAATCATTTTGCATTTTAGACTTCCCGTCTAATTAGTTGCGTCTTGTGTATTATTGAATTCAAATTGTCTTTGTTTCACAACAGTTTAAAAAGTCAGATACGTTCTTTCAGACTGGTTTGAAAAATTGCAATTCCGAAACAATTGGGAATTGCAATTTTAGGATATATGCTATAAAGGAATTCTGTGATATAAATATATCAAGGCTTTAAGTTAATTCTCACGATCATAAGTAAAAGAGGTAATAGCCCAATTTCGATATATTTCAGCGTGAGAGACTGGTATCGAGACTTCAACACCAAACCGAGGCTCCGGGGAACATAATTCATTCGAATCGAGCTTTGGTTGTTTACATCTTCGAGTGGACACTGCTTTCTTGGATTATTATGGTTTTTCAGTACAAAATCGTAGCTTGTTCGAGTTAACAGTAAATCGAAATAATCATTATGGACATGGCCACGTCGGAAGAAGAAGATAAGGGGAATCTACAATACCTTTAGCGTCGAATGTTACAGTAGTTGCGAACCTTCCTTCAAGAAAGAGGGATATAAACATCATCGGAAGGAAAGCGTAAAAGAAAGGCCGAGTTGGTCAAGCTGACGTTTAATGTTCATTCAATGAAGCTCGCGAAAGTGTCTGCAGAGGAAAGTGAAAATGATAATCTTCTCGTGGCCGAGTTACTTCCCACAGACGAAGATGTTTTGCCAAACCCAGCATCCATGTTGAAATCGAACTAGGGTAGGAGCCTCTCCATATTTCCAGTAGTCACCTCTCCAGATAGAAGTAACTATCTTCTGGGAGAGACCGACGAGTACTTTGAAGAAACCTTAGGTCTTTTAGAAGCCTTACGGGTTATAAACTGTTCAAAAATGGACACGTTCTGGACTTACAGGTCCGTGAAGCCGTAGAACATTTACCTTTCGGAAGCCTAGTATCAGAACCGTCCATGTTACTTTTCGCTGTTGCCTGTTCCTGGCTGCAAAAGTACGAGTGATTATGGTTTACTGAAGTTGCACCAGCACTAAAATCTATGCAAGTTTCTATAGAGTCCCCAACAGCGAGCTCTCTGGGACAAACTTTCTTGGCTTTCGGTTGTTCATCACACTGTCTCTCTTTGTCAGCAAGACGCTTCGAACGCGCACCAACAGTATTCGTACATTTCTTTGGGTCATAGATAGTCCGATAGCTGTCTGAACGTAGACTTTTTCGACCAGAAATTAAAATCTCGATGTCGCTTTCCTTAAGATGCAATGAACTGATTCTTGGATCACCGGGTGTCTTGAATTTTTTCATGCGCTTGCTTACAGAAAACTTTCCGCATCTTACGGTCATTGCGCCTTGCACGACAGCAAAAATGACTGAGACTCGGTCTTTTATTATAGTTACTCCCATAACGGCAAAGAGCAACAGCACAATACTTGACCATGGTACACGCGACAATAAACTGCAATGGACCAAAAAAAAAAAGCCAAGAATTCCCGATTTATCAAATGCACACAGCTTTCCCTGCAGTGTTTGCAGTGCTGTGTTTGTTTTCATCATCCGCGCCGTATTCCCCAGAGCCTCGCTTCGGTGTTAGAGCTTCGTCACCAGTCTGTCACGCTGAAATGTATCGAAATTGAGCTATTGTTATTCAAGATTCATTATGGTGTGTACAAAACACGTAGATCATGACCAAGCAGCCACAACAGACTAATTGATCATATATAAAAACGGAAAAGTAACAAAACAGTGTAAAGCAACATAACGTTTTGAAAAGCCTCACGATTCTTTAACTTAGATTTCAACAAACTCTCTGCAATTAACAACTCGTTCCACCGCTGCCTCAGTGGATAATTTTAAGAAAGGAGAAAAAAGTAACTATCGGATATTCTTGCCTCTCTAGCTTCTGTTGTCAGTTTTCGAAAGAGGACATCAAGGAAATTAGACTGATTGTTAAAACGTTGCTGAAGTCATCGTCGAAACAAATGTAGCCCATATTTATTGAAAAAAATGCTATCTGTGGCAACTTACAATTGCGATTAGTCCAACGAAGGAAACAAATATGCAGATGATATTATTAGAGGAGGACATCCAGCATCTTATAAAAATAAAAATGAAAGGCACAGGAAGTGCAGCTTTCAAATCTGTTTCGTCCGTTTTAATGAGGGAACTAGGGATCATTTCATGTCAGAATGTGTATCAAAATTAAAGGATAGGGCAGCATTATACATTTATATTACCTTGCAAAATTACCAAAAACATCATTCTGAACGATAACTTATAAAGTTTCCTGGTCTAGCACATGGAGAGCTGATCCACAGTATGAAAGAAGGGGGTGCCTGGTGGGAAGAGTGGGGCAAAGGCCATGTTAGAAGGCGGGGGCCTGCTGATATCAAGTTTTGCAAAATTTAGTATCTCTTCTTGTCTTCCCTGGCTCCTTGATAATGGTTTAACAATGTTATGAGGCGGGTAGAGGGAAAACAGAGCGCTAACTTCTTGTTTTCGTCTTTGACCTCCTCCCCCCCCTCCACCCCACCCTTTACTTGTTTTTAGGTTCATATTTCCAGGCTCTCGCCATTTTTATAAACAGTTGAATAAGAAAAGATTCAAACTTCAAAGTTGCTTCTTTATCAGTGACAAAAGTTTCTATTCCATCTTTTCCTGCAGCAATACTCATAGATGCAGCAACTATGATTGCAGGAAGTCTTGAAGCAAAACACACAATATAGAAAGCCTTTCTTAGTTAGTAATTTGAATAAACCGACGCCATGATATTATTACATGAAAATATAAATTTTCAAACCTATCACTCTTTGACCATTTAATTTCTCTGAAACCTATTTCTGCCTTGGTATTTACCCAATCCGAATTAAAATATTCTGTCAAGTATATTCCATAAGTCCTATCCCATTTTTTATTGGGAGTGCTTCTTACCCCAGCACGAGCCATGATAATAATACATTTTATCGGTGATGCTGTATACCTTTACAAGAAATAAGTAGATATAAATGCCCACGACAAGCATCCAACAAAAGAAAGCCATAAGGAAATACTGCAAAAGAGCTGCCACAGCTACACATGCAGCCTGCAAGAAATAGGTAATCCGTAAAAATGAAACAATTGATTTGCCGTTTGTCGAGATGATGATTCGAAAACAAAACAAAAACGAAGCAAAACAGGACGAACGAATGAAACCTACAAAATAGAAATCGCGCAAACAAACAAACAAGAAAAGAGAATCACTTGATCAATCAGTCAGTCTTTAAATCAATCAGTCAAAATAATAAGAGGCTGAACCAAATTAAAACAAACAAACAAGCAAAAACCAACAAAATAAGCCAATACGAAAGTAAGTTTAATAAGTCACCTTGTTTTCCGTGGCATCTATTCCAACAAAAAAGATGATATGTCCAGCTCCAATGCAGGAAGTCAGACTAACCCGTATGTGACACAATGGTGAATGTCTGTCTC